CTCTCCCCAGCCAGAGCTGTGGGGCCCTCACACGGCCGGGACGCCCGCCGCCAGAGCTGTGGGGTCCTCACACGGCGGGGCGGCGGGGTTGGCGGCCACGTCCCGGCCAGCTCCCCGGGTCGCCTCCGGGCGCGGTGAGAGCTGCACGCGACGCCTGGCCAACGGCGTCCTCCGGAGCGACGCCTAGCCCGCGGGGGAGGGCGCTGGCCAGGTGTCGGCAGGTGAGGTCTGGCTGGCAGCGCACCTGGGAGGAGCAGGTGTGCACGTCAAGGGCTCTGGGCGTTTGGGGACAGCAGCAGGGCTGTGAGGAAGGGGACGGGGAAGGGACGGGAATGCCAGCTGCGGAGGGTCGGAAAGGAAGGGGCGCTCCTTTGGCTCCTGCTGTTCTGCTGGGACCTTCAGAAGGACCTGCGCTGAGTGGCAGAATAAGCTGCTCTCAGGGGATAACGAGTCACGGTGAGCGGCAGCCAGGTACTGCGGTCACAGGGAATGCTGGCATCACCGCGCACTCCTCCCAGCCTAACCCGCTGCGCCCAGGCCGGTCTCCCCGCTGTGCGGGTCGGCAGCGCCATCTCGTGGGCTCGGGGCGAACTATCGTGGTCTGGAACCTGTGAAGACCCAGGTTTGCACCCAAAGCTGTCATTATTGCATCCGTGTGTGTGTGCAAGGTAGTTTATTCCAGAATAGGACAAAACTTTAATGACAAGAGACTTTCTGCGTGGTTATAACGTTTTTCATTTAATCCTGCTGGGAGGGTGGAAGGAGGAAACCGTGATCTTCAGCCCTAACAACATTTTTACCCTTCAACAAACGGAATGATGTTCCTCCCAGGCCCTGGGCTCACGGTGGGTTCCGCACAGCAACCTCGCCATCGTGGGACGCAGGGGGAAGTTCGTAACAATTCGTGCACACTGCCATGCCTTAGAAACTCTGCCTTCCACAATATGCATTCTAAGAAATTATAGGGAGAGATCCTTGAGCCTGTGCAATTTTCCAGAACACCCGAAGTCTTTGTTCTTGATTTTATTTTGAGGTAATAGTAAATATTATCCTTCCTGTATCAGTCAGTGGCAGGCTTATTTTTGTCCCTCCCACCTCTACTTGTTTGTAGGTGCTCCCCCAGGGAGCTGTCATCAGCTTTGCTTCTGGAGTCTCCCGATGTTACCTGCCACGTATGTGTTGATGGCTCACATGTCTGCATCCACTCCCTGACCTCTCGCCTTCCAAAACCACCTGTCCAAATGCCCACTGTCATCTCCACCTTGAAAGGCCTGCAGGCACCTAAAACTCAACATGTCCAAACTCAGTTTCAGTCTCTCCCCTTTAAATCTGTTCCTCTTTTTATTTTCTCCTCCTTGGCTAATGGCATAATTAGGTGCCCCCAGTGGGAAATCCTGGTTCTGTTCATCCTTCACTCTTTTCTCTCCTGCATCTCTCCTGCAGGAGGTGCAGGGACTATGCAGAGTTCAAAGGCTTGCACAGATAATCCAGGATTCCAATCCATGCATTGCTGAAAAAAATCAAAATTATTTCAAAATAGACAGTAATAAACATGTACATGATTAAGAAACCTAGATCATGTGAACTTCAGCAATTGTTATATTTAGTATTCATAAATACTTGATTATATTAAAATTGTAAGTTAGTTCCTCTTAATATTTTCTTTGTAAGAACACTTAAGTATGCATGATGATTTGTTCAGGATTATAGACAGTCAGAAATTAAATAAATGAATTGTTGCCAAATAATTTCAAATATAAAATAACACAACATACCTTCTTAATTTTGACAGCAGAAAAATTTGTAATGTATTTCATGTGGGAGGCAACACAGGAAAAAAGAGAAGTTTCCACTGGGTTGCCAACTTCAGTGGATTGCTGGAAGCTGTTTAGGACCCTGCCTGGGTAAGGATGCTGAGGCTGACGTCTGGGCTCAGTGAGTTGCATTGTGCATTTTGGGAATGGGAGGGGTAAAATGATACCCAGTGACATGGAACTTTGCAAGCCAGTTGTTAAACATGACCACTATTAAAAATTAAATTATATAGACTTATAATTAGATAACATATTAAAAACAAAGATAATAAGTATTCAAAATGTATGTACTAATTATTTTACTACATCTTAATATTATCTATGCATTTGAAATTACTTATGTGTACTGTATCTGTGTGGTGGAATGTGATTGCACACACTTCACAATTCTGCGCTTAGTGACATCATGCTGGTAGTTTGAGATCAGCCAAAATAGGAGCATTGACACCATGAAAATAGTCGAACGCTGCAAATCAGGGCTTTTCCCTGGAGAGCCAGTTGTTCAACATTTACCAGCACACCACTGCCTTTGTCGCATATATATCATCCTTCTGCAAAGGCACACTCTCCAGAAGGTTACCACAAGCGAATAATAAAATAAGAGTTAATACATAGTATCTTTTATTTGACAGGCACTGTTATAATTGTGATTTAACTACTATTCAAATGTATTGGTTCAATTAATTCAATCAAATTCTGACTACAGCTCTAAGCTAAACACTGTTACTATTCTTGTTTTATGGATGAGGAATCTGAAGCACGGTCATGTTAAGAAATTTGATTAAAATTTCATTGGATGGCCAGGTAAAAATATATAATTTTTCCCTTCTAGAAGCCTACAGTTGTAGAGGGGAGTGAGACATGCAAAGAACAAAAACTGATGTAGACGTGCTGCAATGGGTATGTGCAGGTTTCCATGAGAACAGAGCTGTATCTTGTGCGTATCTGAGATGATATTCCTAAGGGTGGCCACTTTGTTGAAATGCATAAGTTGAGCATTAGTTTGAGTCTCCAACTATTCTAATTCCAGAGTATGTGCATGGGGTGCTACTACATTCAATTCAAGCCTCATTATGGAGTGGGACATGCAGGGTAGGCTCATTATGTTGCAGGAACAAACAATCCCCAAATCTCATTCACATCACACAATCAAGGTTTGTTTTCACTCCCACCATTACCATCTGGACTAATACCTGCAGAGCTTTGCACAGTCCTAAATACTTAGTGTATACTAACCACCACAACCATATCAAGTAGGTACTAATATCATAGTTTTTTTATAGATGAAAACCCTAAGGCACAGAAAGGTCAAATGACTTGCAAAGGTCACCCAGTCAGTCTGGTTCCAGACATTGAAAAAAAATGAATAAATAAAATATATAATGGAATTAAATTAGAATAAAAATAAATAAAAATTTTTAAAAATGAAGAAAAAAAATTTAATGGAATTAAATTCAAAAGTGGGGGGATCCTTCAGTGTGAGCTGAGTTGCCCCTTTTTCTTCATTGGGTGGCATTTGTCACATCTGGGCTCAGGCTTAGGATTGGGATTGGCCTAGGCAGAGGGATTTGCTGAAGGAAAAATAGAAGCAGGGCTTTCATGGCCATATGAATCGGCTTAATGGGTTTAGGTCTGGAGAAGAACCAAACGAATGGTAGGCTTTCCATCTCCTGAGTGCTAGGCTGGTAGGACTAAAGGAGAAAGGCCCAGTAAAGTCCTTCTAAACGTACTCTGTGTGGGAAACAGGCTCCACTTGGAGAGAAAGTCCTGCAGGAAACACATGACAGAGTTCTGCAGTCTTCCTGCTAAAAACCTAGAACCATCTAACCATGAGAAAAAACACGAGAAAAATTCCAATGGATGTGCATCCTATAAAACCCCTGACTAGTACTCCTCAAAATTGTCACATCATCAAAAACAAGCAAAGTCTGAGAAACTGTCACAGCCAATAGGAGATGTGACAAGTAAATGTAGTGTGTGTCTTAGATGGGAATACAAAAAAGATAGTAAGTAAAAACCGAGAAAATGAGAATAAACTACAGGCTTTGTTAATGGTAATGTACCCATATTGGTTCATTAGTTGTAACAAATGTGCCCTCCTAAAGTAATACGTTAATAGTGGAAACACAGTGAGGTGTATATGGGAACTCTCTGTATCATCCTTTTATTTTTTCTGTAAGTCTAAAAATGTTCTAAAAATAAAGTTTAGTTTTAAAAAATTGTTTCTCCAAAGAAACCATAAGAACAAGGTTAATGAGATATACAACCAATATAGAGGGAAAACATTTGACAATAATGCCACAAAAGGTGAGGAGCAAATGGGATAACACTGTTGTGAGATTCTCATGTTGTTTGGGAAGTGGTAAAATAGAAGAAAAGATAATCACAGACCAATGTTTTTCATGAATATACAAGATTGCAAGACTGAATTGACATATGAAAATCAATTGATATAAGTTATGCCATTAACACACTAAAAGAGAAAACCTATAAGATAATCACAATGAAGAAAATGATTTAATAAAATTAACTTTTTTTTCTTTTTTTGAGACAGAGTCTCACTCACTTCCCCAGGCTAGAGTGCCATGATGTCAGCCTAGCTCACAGAAACCTTAAACTCCTGGATTCAAGGTCTCCTCCTGCCTCAGCCTCCCGAGTAGCTGGGACTACAGGCATGTGCCACCATACCTGGCTAATTTTTTCTATATATAGAAATTTTTAGCTGTCCATCTAATGTCTTTCTATTTTTAGTGGACATGGGGTCTGACTCTTGCTCAGGCTGGTCTTGAACTCCTGAGCTCAAAAGATCTGCCCACCTTAGCCTCCCAGAGTGCTAGGATTACAGGTGTGAGCCACTGCACCCAGGCCAAAATAAACTTTTTTTTTTTATTTGTGTAGTATTTTATTTACTGACTTCTCTGAAACATCCCAAAATTCATATGGTTAATAGAACTTCCTATGCTAACATATTGGTGAACATGACAAATTTCTTCAAAAGCTATTTTAAGGTAGTGCCTTCATTTTATTCTTGAAGAATCAGCATGTGAACGTTACATTTAGGTGACAAAATTCAGTTTACAAATATAAGATAAATATCAAATAATATCACATTTATGGTTTACTGGAAAATATAACAGTTGTGACAGTCATGCTTAGTTAAGTAAAGAGAGAAAACGGGCAGGGGTGTCTGAGGTAAGCAAAGATTTAATGGTTTGAATAATCCTTAGCCCTTCTGAGAAACTATAGCTGAAAAATATGTAGTAAATATTTCTGTACTATGGTGGTTTCAGTCCATTATAATGATTACCATTCCATTCATGCATTCAAATAACTGCTGTCGTTTCTGATCACTGAAAACCAATTTTTGCAAAGCTAGTCATTGCTCAATAAGGTGATGATACCACAAATCCCTTACACTAAAAATTATAGCTTAAATCCGGAAAGATTAAGGTAAAGCATACTTGTTATTCATTTTTACTTTTTAAGATATAATAAGACTACACTATTATACATAATCAGGTATATTATGGTATACAGTTAATTCCAGTTACCATATTTTATATTTATTGGTCATCAACAGCACAAATTTTATGTTCCAAAAGAAATATATTGATCTATCAAAATGGTTACATTTCATTTTCTTTTAAAGATAGAGCAACTAAATTGATGGAAGAACTGGCTTTTCTTGATATCTCATTTTCAAATTACTGATACAAATTTATCAAAGAATTATATATTTTACCCAACATCAAACAATCCACAAAAAGTTTCCAAGATAGATGTAATTCTTGTTCAATTTCCAAAAATAAATAAAGGTTTTCTAATTTAAACCATTTACATTCCTAGCTCTCTAAAGTAAACATTAAAAAGAAAATACAAAAAATGATCTCTTGGCTTTTGAATACTCCACTTAGTTACATAAAGTAGTTTCTGTTCCAGCATTTTCTCAAATTCAAAAGATATTTACTTCCTAACATGACAGAATCTTCATTTCAAACCATTCAGTCTGCTTCCATGGCAACACTGCGGGATTCCTTGGCTACCATAAGTCGCATTAGTTGACTGTGGAATTTCTCAATCTTCTTCACATCTTGAGCTTGGTCTGTTCTATACATCAAACAAACTAAATCATCTGTTACTTTAATACTCAAACTCCCATCTGAATGCCTATATTTGAGAACCACGCGTGCCTTCATAGGGTCGGCGAGGTAGAGCTTCTCGGCCACGCGGCTGAACTCCTCCCAGGTCTGGAACTGCGGCATCGTGGCCCAGAGTGGAACAGGAGAGAGGCAAGACCGCGGGACCGGGCCCAGCTACCTAACTACCCACCCCAAAATAAACTTTTTAATGTTAGAAATTCAAGACAAATGTAAAGGAACCTCCTAAATTAGCTAAAGGATAACTCCAAAACTTCCAGTTAGTATCATTTATAATTAAATTTTCAAAATAAGAAAAGAATGTTCCTTATTAGCACTTCTATTCAACATTTGATTGGCAATTTTAGCCAATGTAATAAGCCAAGAAAAATAAATAAGAAAAATAAAAGACTGGAAAAGAAGTAAATCTATCTTTATTTGCAAGTGACATGACTTCTGTACAAAGAAAATACTAGCAACAAATAATTAGAAAACAAGATTTAAAAAGCAATACCATTTACAATAGCATAAAAATTAAATATATAGTAATAAATCTAACAACGTTCTTGACCTTCTTTCACACTGAAAACAACAAATATTCTAAGAAAAATATAAAATACCTAAATAAATGGAGTGATATGCCATATTGATGGATCAGAAGATTCAATTTTGATAAGATATCTGTTCTCCCAAGTTATAGATTCAATATAGTCTAGTCATAATCTCAACCACATTTTGTGGAAGTTGAAAGACTTTTCTAAAATTTGTGCAGAAATGCAAAGGACCTAGAATAACCAAGAAAAGAAAAACAAAGAGCACATATACTACTAGACTTCAGAGATTACCATAAAGTTCATTAATCAATGTGAAATATTGGTGCAAATTGACCAACAGAGCAGAATAGGTTCAGAAATAGATCCACCCACACACAGGCACTAAATTTACATCAGAGACAGCACTTCAGTGCAGTGGGTGAAAGGTGATCTTTTCCGTAACTGTCCTAGCAGTAGGATATCTCTGCCCATATTTGTATCTGTATCTGTATCTAGATGTGTGTCTCTATAATCAAGCTTGACCCCTTTCATCATTTACAGATATGTACTAGATCCTAGAGTTAAATATGAAAGGTAAAGCAATAAAACTAATGGTATAAAAACATCTAGGAGCACATTTAGGACTTTGAGGTAAGCAAAGATTCCCTAAATTTCAGGACCCCAAAAGCATTAACCATACAATTGGCTTGGCTGTATGTATATACAATTAGAAGACTCATATCCATAAAAAAAAGAACTTCCATAAATCAATAAGTAAAAGACAAAACAAAAGAGGATATCCAAAAATCAATACATGCACAAATAGGTATCAACCATGATTATTCATCAGGGAAGTGAAATTAAAATCAAAACATTTTATACATTCACAGGAAAGGCTAAAATTAAAATATCTTAACAATACCAAATATTGGTAAAGATGTAGAGGAACGGGAACTCCCTTACCTGGTCTAGTATAAATTAGAAAACTATTTGATAGTATTTCCTACAATTACACACACACTTTCTTTATGACCAGCAATTCCCTTCCTAGGTATATATGCCTGAAAAAATGAGTGCATATGCCCTCAAAAAGATATGTAGGAGAATATTACAGGCTCACACCTGTAATGTTAGCTCTCTGGGAGGCCGAGGTGGGAGGATTGTTTGAGCTCAGGAGTTCAAGGCCAAACTGAGCAAGAACAAGACCCCATCTCTACTAAAAATAGAAAGAAATTACTTGGGCAGCTAAAAATATATAGAAAAAATTAGCTGGGCATGGTGGTGCATGCCTGTAGCCCCAGCTACTTGGGAGGCTGAGGCAGGAGAATCGCTTGAGCCCAGGAGTTTGAGGTTGCTGTGAGCTAGGCTAATGCCACAGCACTCTAGCCTGGGCAGCAGAGTGAGACTCTGTCTCAAAAAAAGAAAAAAAAAAAAGAATATTTATAGTAGCTCTATTCATAATAGCCTTAAACTATAAATAGCCCACATGTACATCAACAGAAGAATGGGCAAATAAATTACAGATATTCATACAATAGAAAAGTACTCAATGATTTAAAAAAAATGAACTACTTTTATACTCGACATGAATCACAAACATTATGTTGAGTGAAAGAAACCAGAAACAAAAGAGCACTTAATATATGATTTCATTTGTATGAATTCAAGAACAAGCAAAATTAATCAATAGTGCCAGATGTCAGAATAGCAGTCACGTGTGTGGGGGAGAGGCTGACTAGGAAAGGGTACTGAGAACTTCTGGGGTACTGGAAATGTGTATTTTAATTGGGTTATAATTATGTGGGTATATAAATATGTAAAAATGCATGAAGTTATACACTTAAAATCGACACCCTTTACTTGTTTTAGTGTATACAGTTTATGCTTCAGTAAAAAATATGTGTACCCTTAACAATATTGGCAGAGTAATCCTCCCCTCATGCCCTACTGTACCCAAAAAACACACGGACCAGAGATTTGTAGAGGAAATTCCATTGTTATTCAAAGAACAGAATCATCTATGTCATTGAAATAATTTGAAAGATAGAAAAGGACAGATTCCAGGGTGCTAGAATAGCCCAATCAAAGAAAACCAAAAGCCAATCTCACATACGAATACTAAAGCAAAAGGAGCTAAATGAAAAATTATAGAAAATAATCCAGAATGTCATGACCAAGTGGTACTTATGCCAGAAATACTAAAAGTAATTATTTATTAGAAAAGACATTAATATATTTATAAAGTGAGGAAAAGCATATGCTATCTCTCTAGGTCAGCATGTCCCATAGGAAGATAGTGAGAGCCATATATGTAATTTTTAATTTTCTAGTAGCCACATTTAAAAAAAGTAAAAAGAAACAGATAAAACAAATTTTAATAATATATTTAATTATCCCAATATATCCAAAATATTATTATTTTTATTTTATTAGGCACACAGTATAAAAATTATTAATGAGATAGTGTACAATTTTCTGTAATAAGTTTTTACAATTTGGTGAATATTTTGCTGTCCTAGCACACCTGAATTCAGACACTAAATTTTCCTGGGAAAGCTTGATCTGTGTTTAGAGTTAATGAAATTTACACTTGAAAAAGTAGATTTATATATCCCATTTCCAAATATACTTTAGTTTTTCAATAACTGAATTATCAGTTTCTAAATATAGTTTAATTAAAATTAAATTAAAATTTTAATTAAGTTCCTCAATCGTACTAGTCACATTCCACATGAGGCAGTGGTTACTTTATTTATTTATTTATTTTTGAGACAGAGTCTCGCTTTGTTGCCCAGGCTAGAGTGAGTGCTGTGGCATCAGCCTAGCTCACAGCAACCTCAAACTCCTGGGCTCAGGCAATCCTCTTGCCTCAGCCTCCTGAGCAGCTGGGACTACAGGCATGGGCCACCATGCCCGGCTATTTTATATATATATATATATATATATTAGTTGGCCAATTAATTTATTTCTCTTTATAGTAGAGACAGGGTCTTGCTCTTGCTCAGGCTGGTTTCGAACTCCTGACCTTGAGCAATCCGCCCGCCTCGGCCTCCCAGAGAGCTAGGATTACAGGTGTGAGCCACCGTACCTGGCCCAAAGCAGTTCTTATAAGAGACAACCAATGTTAACAGAGGAAGACTTCACTGTATATTCTTTATTCCTTTTGGATTTTTACTAGGTACATAATAACACGTGAAGACAAAATAAACCAACCACTTTTTAATTTTTTCATGCAAAATCCTAAAAAAATTTTTCATAAATTTAAAAGTCTTAGTGAAGAATAAAATACCTTTTCATTTATCATAATTATCTTGAGTTAACATTATCAAATTTTTACAATTATATTTAAGGGTTTTTTATTTCAAAATATTAATTGAGGGGACACAAGTGTTCTTGTTACATGGATACCTTGAATAATGAGTAAGTCAGAGCTTTTGGTGTGCTCATCACCAGATAGTGTTCATTGTACCCAACAGGGAAGTTTTTATCCCACGACCCCCTTCCTACCTTCCCACTTCTTGATTTCTCGTGTCCTTTATGTTGCTTCGTGCCTGTGTGTACCCATCATTCAGCTCCCACTGAGCAGTGAGAACGCGTGGTGTTTGGTTTTCCATTCCCGAGATCCTTCGCTTAGGCTAATTATCTCCGGGCCGTCTAGGCAGTGGCCATGGGGTCAGGCATGCAGGTGTTCGCTCCGTCCGGGTCTAGGTGTAACGGCGGTGTGCAAGGGGTGGGGGCACGGCTGGTGTCTAGTGGGTCCGTGAGGGAGACCTGGACTGTAGGCATGGCATCGTGCGGTGCCATGGAGGCGTGGTGGCCCACTGGCTGGTGTGCAGGGCCAGTGGGCTTGTTTTGCTGGTCAGCACTTGGGGCTGTGGGGCATGGCCTGCCAGCCAGCATACAAAATCAGGAAGCAGGGCCTGCCACAGGGCATGTGGGTCTTCAGGGGCACGGACTTCCGTGTGGCCTGCAGGGCTGGGGGGCTTGGGCTTTGGCATGGCTCCACTGGTCAGGGTGCGGCGCCATGGGGTCTGGGCTGCTGGGTGGCTGGGGCTGTCTCCCTGTTCAGGTTTCCCAGAGGCTGCTACTGTGGGACCCCTCGAGTTCCATTTGGGCTCCCTGGGCGGGGCGGGGAGGGGAGCACCCGGCTCACCGTCAGGGGCGTGTGAGTGCGTCTGCTCTCCCTGCTCCCTCCCGGCCTGGGACACTGTGGGGACAGCTGCAGCAAACTGCTCCCTGTATAGACCGGGAGCTCCGGACCTGAGAGCTCAGTGTCGCCTCAGCTGTGGCAGCCAGGGAACCAAGACCAGCGGCCCCTGCTGAGCCTCCCCTCCAATGCAGCTTCGCTGCAGTCCCCAAGCAGTCCCTGAGCAGCACGGAGGCCTGCAGGGGTGGTGGCACGGTGCCCTCGCAGCCGAGTGGCAGTGTCCATGCAGGGAGCATGGGGCCTGGGCTCTCTCCTCTATCCCTTCCCCAGGTGTGGGGGTCTCCCAGGTCCCCTCCCAGCTCGGTGAGTGGGACTCCCCGACCCCTCCCTTCACTCTGGGCGTCTCCCATCAGTTGTCTGCTGATCTAGGAGGCTCTGTCCCAGAGGCCATCTGCAGGTGAGCCTCCACCGCAGGTTCAGTCCTCTCCCAGGGAGCAGCCTGTGCGGCCGCTCTGAGTCTGCCATCTTGGCCCCTCCCTATTT